ATTTTGGAGTCTCTCTGTTCTTCTATATCGTCGTCATCGCTTCTCTTTCTCTTCCTAAGATTGTATCTCAAAGGTGGTGTGGAAGTAGATGCAGATGTAGATGCAGTAGGTGGTAAAGTTTCATTAGGTAGTGCAATATCAGGTAATACACTCTCAGGTAATGTACTCGAATTCGATGGTGTATGATCAAGTGGTAAAGTTATATCCTCAGGTGCCCTTGACTTCGGTGGTGTATGATCAGGTGGTGAAGTTATATCAGGTAAAGTAACATCACTTTCTTTGTTGTTTTCCCCTGCCGGTCTTGTTAAATCATCAGCCACTTGTCGGATATTTCCATATTCATCTTCATCAAAGCGTGGTATTTCAGTCTTTGTTCGTTTTGGTATTGGCAAGCGCACCTCTATCGAGTCTGTGATTATTTCATTTGGTGATATTGGTGGATCGACTGGAATAGACGATGATTCAGGGACATTCTTAGGTCTGCCGCGAGGCCTGCGATCAGGTTCTATATTCTTGGTACCTTGTGATCCAGCTACACAGTTTCTGAGTTTGAGATCCAGATCCCCTCCTTTGTAGCTTTCGTCGATTGTAACACGATAAGAGCGGTAAGTATAACCTAGCTCTGGTGAATAAACCTTTATATGCTTGGTGGTGTCTTTTGAGTATCCCAGGAATATCCCAACCCTTGCTGTGTCGCGAAGTTTATCATGCCTTTGTCCTTTTGGGATGGTTTTGGGGTTGATATAGGCGTAACATCGACTCCCCCAGACCTTGCATGTATCGATATCTGGTAATGTGCCTGTAAATGCTTCGAGTGGGCTTCGATCGATTCCATTTGCATCTGGGCCAATACTAGTGCGGTTTCGAATGTATACGTCGTGCTCGACAGCTTCGTCCCAAAATTCTAATGGTAAATGAGCTTCTTTCAACATTGCTCTCATGTCGGTTTCTGCGGTGCGTATATTGCGTTCAGCTGGACCATTTTGGTGAGACGATACAACCACTGTAACCTCTGATCGCACACCAGTCTTCCATTCCCGGACGGCTTGAAGAAGCTCTGGTGCATTGTCGGTTCTGGCAGCAATTACAGCTACTCCTGTAGCAAGTTCAATTTCTTGCTTCCAGGCTTTCAGTAAGGGTATTGCATCGCTCTTCTGTTTCAATAGGATGACCCAATTTACCCTTGTGGCGCTATCGATAATAAGGAGAAAGTATCTGTGCCCTCGAATGGTCCTTGGGAAAGGGCCAGCAACATCGAAATGGATCAATTCTAGCCTTTTGGATTTTCGTGCACTTAGTTGACTTGGGATTCTGTTAGTCATCTTTGTGAGAGCGCACACTTCACAGACATCAAGAGTTGAAGGGACCTTGATCGGTCTCTGGAGTGTAGTGACTTTGTGCAGATTCCTGATTTTGTCAGGGCCGAGATGATTGAAGCGTCTATGCCAGATAAGGTATCTTTCCTTCTCCGTCATGGTTAATTCTTCGACTTCCCCTTTTGTACCATCAATGATCTCTGCAGAGAGCGCAAAGAATGCAGAATCTTCGTATCCTGGTTTCACATGCGAGATGATATACATCCCATCTTTCATTGTTGCTTTGATGATCTTATTATTCTTATCGTTTTCTGGTGTGAAATACATCTTCTTGAGACTGAATGTACCCTTGAGTCCTGCCTCACAAATTCTCTTGGCTGAGAGCAGGTTGACCCCCAATCCAGGTACATATAGCACACCAGCTAATGATGTCCTTGTTCCATCCTTGCACACCATGTCCACTGTTCCTCGCTCATCCGAGTACATAGCTCCCCCACCAACCGTTATCCTTCGTCGCGGAGTACGAATTAGACTTCTGAATAGAGAACGTTGGTCAGACATGTGTGAAGTGGCGCCGGTATCAGCGTACCATTGCGATGGGGATGCCTTACTAATACTTTCTTTGGTGAGATGACAATGCTCAGAATCAGACTCACTATCGACGACACTTTCAGTAGCATCGGAGCTTGATTCGGCGATATGAGCCTTGTGCTCCCTGCGTTTTTTGTCTTTTCGCACTGGAGAGGTGGATTGTCTTCTCTTCTGTTTGTGCTTTGAATCGGATTTCAAGAGACGCTTGGCGCGACGGAGCTGGAAGCATTTTAGGACTGAGTGGCCAGGTTTGTCGCAGAGTTCGCAAGTGATGATGGATGTGTCGGTCTCCGAGCTTGTGCTAGCCTTACGCTGGCGATGAGGTGGGACATATTTCTTTCCTTTTGCAAGGTGTGCCGAGTCTCCAGAGGTCTGGATCTCTGCCTCTTTGACCTGTAGATGCTTGATCTTATCGTCAATGCTTAGAGTAGAACTGACGACACGGATCATATCAATGATGACTTTGTACTCATCAGGGAGAGACAAGGTCAGGCTTTGAAAGAGTGATTTATCTGTACACAAAGCACCGGCTGAAGCATCCGCAGATAAGAGCTTTCGTCGAAGATCCTTGAGCTTATCCCATGCACCTATAATAGTCATATCAGGGGTATCGTCGAAAGAGAAGGTCTTGATCTTGAGGAGGTACTCGTCTGCTGCGATATCATCGATTCTGGAGTATTTGACGGCTAGATAATCCCAAAGTTTCTTTGCTGTATCATATTCGTCCACTAAAGCCTCATCATCGTCAGATAATGAGCGACAGATGTAAGATAATGCACTAGCGTCGTCCTTAAGAAAGGTGGCCTTTTTGTCGATATTGAGTCGAATCTTTGTAGTGGTACTGCCGCTGCCGCTGGAGACTTGAAGTTCTTCGAAATCCTGGATTAAGTTGTCGGCTGCTGCAATCCGTGCATATTCATGCAATGTCTTTTCGCATGTATAGAACCAACCTTTTCCTCGAAGTTGAATTCTTATTTGACGAGTCCAGCGTTCGTGATTCTCTTGAGTGAGAGGAGGGATGCGCTTGGAGTAATCCTTGGATCCAGTGTCTTCGTTCATTTTGAAGGTTCTGCAAGTAGAAAGCTTGCGTCGATGACCTAGGCGTGATTGATGGTGGAATGAAAGAGTGGAAGAGGAACTGTTTAAGACTGCGCTGTCCCGATTGGGATGTACTAGTGTTTGAAGGGAGAAATTCTCTTCAAGGCGGGGTAATTAAGAATAGTGAATTTTGATTTGTAGATAATGATTTTTGAAGTGATATCGAACACTATGTAGCAGGTGATGCTCTTCAGCGTTAAGCTGGAATGAATGGTCTTTTCAGTAATAACTCGTAGTTTTCTTACTTGAGGAAAAGGCGCGATGTAAGTGGTTACTTCGCTGTCGCTGCTCAGCAATCTGTTTGCTGTGCGCACCTCGTATGTTGACGTCGCGTTGCGTAGGAGCTTCTCGTCGTCAACCTCTCCTTTGGCAACGTAAGCTATTCAAAGAGCTTTCGGCCTTAGTCTTACTGCAGAGCTACCGGGCTCATAACCTGTTCACAATAAAGGAGCAGGCCAGTGGAATGCATGTATTATTGACTATGTAGATTAATTGTACTAAGGTAAAATCTAACTACGAAGTGGAAGTGATATATGCACAGTAGCTTAGAGCACGTGCCACAACTTCCAACATATTATCTAATTAGAGTGTTTTACTGAGTTTTATTAAGTAAGGCCTAATAGAACATAATAGGAAGTAATAGGATAATAAAAAATGAAGGTTTATATAAAGGAATGGATTTCATTATAATGTAAAGCTTTATACTCAAAAACAATTATTAATTTTATTACTATAATTATGAGAATTATAATTAGTTATTAATCTTATTAAATTCCTATTTAAAGTTTAGTCTAAACCATTTCAAAAGATCTTTAAACACTTCCACATAACCCTAAAAACAGCTCCCATAACACTTAAATACTTTAATATATCTTTAATTTTATTAAGTCAAATATTAAATAAATTTTTAATAAAATAAGTTGTAATATAAGTTCTAAAATGTTTAAGGAAATAATAAGGGGAATGTATTATGGGAGCTGCCTCTAAGGTCATGTAGAAGTATCTAGAGATCTCTCGAAATGATTTAGATTAAACTTCAAATAGGAATTCAATAAGATTAATAACTAATTATAATTCTCATAATTATAGTAATAAAATTAATAATTGTTCTTAAGTACAAAGCTTTATATGTAAAGAAACCCTATTCCTTATATAGACCTTCATTCTCTACAGAACCATAAGGCTCTATTCTGCTTGGATCCTTTGGATCTTATGGATCTAAACATTTATTCTTCAATCCCCTAGATCCTCTAGGTCCATCACGTGACCGTTTGGCCATGTGACGCGGTATGTTGGATACCGTCGTAACAGAATGTTAATAATATAAAATTATTTTTTGATATTGAAAAGCTAAAGATATTATATTCAGAAACTATAATAATTATATTTGAATTGAGTTGATATAGAGAATCAAAAGATCTATGTAAAATGTATGGATCTTTAAGTATTGAATAAGAAGATTATGCAGGAGACAAGGATGTTATGTATGATATGTCCGAAGTTGTCTTAACGAGCCGCCATAGCTAGCACACTGTTGGAAATTGGAACAGCTTATTTAAGTGGTGGAGACTGTACGAGAAGGATTATTGTAAGATTCAATTATGCTACACACGAGGCAATTGACCTCCATCTAGACGACTTAGCATCACTGCTGCCAATCATTGTGAAGGTGTACAGGGGTCACGGTATTCGGAAATGAGAGCAAGCAGAGATCGGCAAGGATGTAGTTATGTATGTACCTAGGTAGTTATTGATATATGCAGGCTCATCACAAGATGATTCAAGGAAATCGCATGCATTGTTACATCGTGCTGAAGCGCTGAGGGGGCATAGACGCATCGCATACCTCTCTGTAAGCGAGTATCTTCCTCGTCCCCTAGCGAATATCTCAACACTCTCACCTCTACTTCATTCTTTTTTCTCTCTTCCTTTCATCAAATTTCTTGAAGAAAAGCCGATCATGAGGTAATATTTTACATAATTACATCATCAACTATGTTTTCAAACACCACGTACCTCATCACAGGCGCAAACCGAGGTAATTAGTAAATCATACTATAAATACAAGCACCTCCCTCTTCTAATTGATTCCAGGAATTGGTTTTGGAATTTGTCTCAACATTGCTTCAACGCGCCAATGCCACAGTGATAGTGACTGTCCGCAACGGATCCACCGATGTTTCCTCTCTCAAAGCCCTCCCAAAAGCCGATGGCAGTAACTTAATCATTACCAATCTTGAGATCTCTACCACATCAGTATCTGGCATTGAAATTGCGCACAAGGCATTAGTTGAAAGCCTGAAGACCCGGGGTGTTGAGAGAATTGACGTTCTCATTGCAAACGCTAGAAGTGGCACCTGCTTCAAGTCTACCGTTGAAACGCCACTAGGAGCTATTTTGACGGACTTCTACACCAACAAACTTGGACCCATTGCTCTCTATCAACATCTGCTTCCATTCCTTAAGGCTTCTGATAATGCAAAGTTTGTTGTTATTGGAAGTGTCTTGGGGAGCATTGAAGCTATGATGGCTGGAGCACCCACTGTAGCCCATGGAACTAGCAAGGCCGCAGTGCACTGCGCTGCAAAGAAGATACATGACGAGGAAGAGAAGATTGTTGTCTTGACGATTCATCCTGGGTAAGCTATCTAGTTGCATCAATGAAGTGGAAGGAAGAAAACTGATCGTTCTAGATGGGTCCAAACGAAGAATGGGCAAAATTTTGCCGATAGTATTGGTGTTCCTGCACCACCAATGACTGTGGAACAGAGTTCTGTCGCTGTTGTGGCACTAGTAAGAGATCCAAATGCATAGTAATGGCTCCCATGTACTAACTTTGAGATAGATTGATTCAGCAACCAAGACCACAAGTTCAGGAACCTTCGTAGGCAATGAAGGGGTAAAGGTTCCCTGGTAGGGAGCACCAAAAAACAATCCTTCGGATCAGTGGATCTTGTTAGAACAACCACAACTACCTACTTGAATTCCCATTGTTAAAAAAATCTGCTGCAAGCCAGATATAGTAAATACGTTTCTAGTAGACTGGACATTATCACGGAAATTTTAATCAGGTGATTGAGATCAACATGATGCTTCCGTGGATAGCATTGTTTCTCTGCACTAAATATTTCCTTAGAGAAAGCGATTTCTTTACCAAAACCACTACACTCGTTTAACTACTGCTTAACCATGTTGAGCACGTCTGGTGATTTTGACATCTAGTCAGCCTCACACCGGAAGTCAGACTGAGGTTACTTTGTCACGGAATATGCGGGAGTTTTGTATCTTAAGCTTCTTTCCGACGCAATCCGAGACAATGATCCTATCCGAGGGGTGATTCATTCCTCTTCCGTAAATACGCGAGTAAATTAGATTTTTTGATGGGAATCAAAGCTGACACAGCTCTATAGAAATGGAAAAGTTTCGGGAATGGGAATAACCTATCCAAGTGTCAAAGGCCAAGAGAGAGTCGTGCGATTGAGCAAATACTAGCCGCCATCACTGCACGACTTGAGCATGTTATCAACATCATATCAGCCCAGGTGGCAAAGGAGTTGTCAAATATCATCGCCATCTGTATCGAAGATATGTCTTTGGAAGGGACGTCTGTAGCGTCGTTTGGCTTGGATAGTATGATTGGAGCCGAGTTCAGAAATTGGCTTTTCAATGAATTTGGTTATGAAGTCCCCTTTCATATTCTGTAGGCTCCAGATCTTAGCATTAAAGATTTATCGGTTAACGTTGGGATAAAGTTGGGAGTAATCAGGAGTGAGATTGACACGTGAATACGTGCAACGTGGCGAGGATTGATTAAAGACATCTTACAGTTTGCTAGATGATGATAAATCATTTTACCCTGGATAACAATAGCATTTCTAGCTTTCGAATTCTGATCATATAACCCTTTGTTTTGCCACCACCGTGAATGTTGCAAGACTTGCCAGTCCAAATGCCGGGTTGCAAGAGCAAAACTTATCTCTACAAAAAATATGTCGAAATCGCAATTAACTTTCGCGTTCGAGTGCCCGCTTCGTTAGGTCTCAGCGTATAGGCGGTCAGATGAAAGTATGAGACTTGCCTGCTCAATGTAGCTGTATTTCCAGAGGCACTTCATAGCCAACCATGTCCAATTTTATTCTTGCACGAGCGAGATTGACAAGATAGACACTTCAACGACCTGGGCCAGAATTTAGACGGTTTAATTACTGAGTGAGAAACCACTGGGGGAAAAGGCTGTATATTATAGATGATTCCAGCGAGAATGCATGCGCATCAACTTATGAAGTATAATAGAATATATCATCGTGCAATCAAGGCTTGTGCTTCCTCCACGCCTTCCTATCATGGTATTGTATGTAGATGCTGATCCGCGGAAGCGCCCGATTATGTGCGTCATTGGCTCCTTGACGATTTTCTCCTAAGATAGAGGTAACAGAAGAAAGGAATTCCTTTTCGATTTGTATCTGCAGTAGTCCATCTGCGCCGTATTTCAATTCCTCCGTCCTATTCAGCGGTGTAACTTCGTCTACCATAGGGTCCTTTTCGTCTTTTATGTTGTTCCTATGAGTATTCTCACCGTTGAATGAACACTGAAGATAGTGATACATACGGATCAACCGGTGAATCGATACAGTATCTGCTCGCCCATCTCATTAGCCTAGACACAACCAATATGAAGGATTGGGATATGTACTCAAAATCACTCTCGCACCGACCCTCGTTCGATACATTGTACACATCACGTGCAGACTTCCTCAGCTTTGATCCTTCATTAACGCAAGCCAGACTCTAGTTGGCACGATGATGGTACATTTCGCATCAAAGCCCCTAGCGAAAATCTCAATATGAGGCTGGTTATTGCCAACCTACCTCCACTCGCTCAGCAATAGCTTGACATTCGACGAGAAGAGATGTGAAGTTCCGTGGCGCAAACGTGGAACACTCAAGCCGAATCAATTGTACGCCATATGTTCGATGGCACGGAATGTAGTGTGCGCCTTTGATGTTTCGTGTCAGATTGACTGAAGACTGACTTGCAAGCAAAAGCACACTGAGCCAGCCGGACTGTATATCTCAAATCGACCCCGCTGGAAGAAATTTCGAGGTGATGATGATATTCATTATCAAATTAATTGAAATGTCGAAGTATTACTACTTCGTACACCTTGCCAGGGATTTGTGGATTGTGGATGGAAATATATTAGGGGGTTCGTCATCTGTTTACGAGGCTGATAATGATGGACATTATTTATTATACTTTGTTGTAACCTTAAACATCAGTTGATTTGGGTCAAGAATGATCTGGTGGAGACAAGCATTTGTATATCAGTACATGAGAAGTTGAGTAATAAGTTGAGCAATGTGAATACGATTATTCCATAACAAGTATGGACATTGAAGGTCCTGCGAGATCTTTGCCCTCCCTGTACAGAGTTGAGTTCTCGATAACGATATTTACAGTATCGTACGGAAGATACAACTGGATAAACAATGCCAAGCCGGTAGTGAAACTTTGGTACAGTATATGATCTGGACCAAAAAACCGATTGATATAATATAATAATACTTGACAAATCACAACTCACGTCGCCATGTCTATGTCAGACAAAGAAAAACCTAGATCACTTCCTTCAATGTTCAACCACATCATAGATTTCAGAGGTGATGCTGTTACATTGACGATGGGAAACTTGATGCCTCCTCGTCCTTCCTCTTCCCTCCAATTCTTTGAGGATTCTATCCTCGACCTCTACAGTTTGATATCAGAAGAATCCAACCTTGGAAATTCTTTATGTTATATTAAAATCTTTTATCAACTTGAATGGTTCTAGAACTCAAGAATCCTAGATTGTGGCTCTGAAACCTCCAACTTTAGTCAGGGTCTTTCCCGTGCTCCACCAATTCAACCCATCATGGAATTCCCATGGGCTATGATCCATTCATCAAACAAGGTTCTCCTGACTTGGAGATACTTTTTTGGTCGGAGAACACTCCCGCTCCCACCACCCGTCCAGCTGAACAGTCTAGTCACCAGTAGCAGCTCACTTTACAGATGTCCCTGATGGTTCTATTGGCGGAGATATCCCACCGTATCTTGCCACTTTTCACCCCAAGTTGTAAGTGCTGGTAAGTTGCAGCGTCTATTCGAACCGCACCCTTCAACGTAACAAGAGGAGGATTTCAAAGTTGCATGATGCACCTCAAGCAGAAACTGTAGCATTGGCTCTGCACACTTGTTAGAGATGAAAAATGCAACGCATGGATTCAACCGATCAAGCATTTACTTATGGATATTTCCTGGTAAATGAAGTCGAAACAAAATCATCGTTTCATCGACAAACCACAAGCGTGACTGATCGACGTGCTATGTCCGGTACGGAAGTATCATCCCATTCAGTATCAACGAGCAGATCACTTCAAGCATCATTCTGGTTGCAAACAGTGGATGGCAACGAGTAGGAAATGGTGTACAGTAGAACTAAAGCTAAAGGGGGTAAAAGCTGGGGCTTCATTTCAAGACAAATCGGAGCTTGAGAGTAAAAATATAACTTTAAATTCACCAGCGACGCCCCCGCAAATTAGTCGATCCGTCCGAAAGAGGCTTTGTTCTCTGCTTATGACTGTGGACCGAGTCAAATGCTTGAGGGCCGTATGGTTTGAGGAATGAGTAGATGCTCTTTCCGAGTGAATATTTCCTTCATGTCTTTCCCCTACCCAAATCTCTCTTATTTTCGTTGCGAGATCTTTGATTTTGATTAGATACCCCAGCAAGTTTCTTTAACATATTTACATGGCATTACAGAAATACTAGACTGCACACAAAACCGTTCGATCTTTGTGAGAGAGTCAAACATCTTTCTATTCATAGAAACCATCACGACTTTCAACAGTACGGCACAATCAGGTATTGTCAGTACTTAACTCTGTTCCTCATGATGGTGGCCAAGGGGTATAAACCCCAAATGCTATGGGCAATAATGGAACCAGATTCGCAGAAGAACTCAGACTACATGGTCGTCTTGAGTTCAGGGAAACGCCTACTTCAAAAGCTCGCATATGGATGTATACCGAGTTTCTTACAGAGAAGAACGATACGACCTACTTCGCCAAAGACGCAAAAGTTGCATCCCACTTCATATCTCGATGGCCTTCGAGGAGTGGCTTCTTTCATCGTATTCATGGGGCATTATACAGAGGAGAATATTGGATGGTGGACTGAGCCGTATGGGCTCTACGAAGATGGTGCCCCGTCATCACCTATACAACTCCCATTTGTTCGAGTCCTATATTCTGCCAGACCAATGGTACACATATTTTTCATCATTTCTGGATTCGTCCTCACCTACAAACCTCTGAAGCAAATACACTCTCAACAATACTCGGCACTTGCATCTACATTATCTTCGTCCGTCTTCCGCCGCGCAGTGCGTCTCTTCTTGCCATCTTTTATAACACTCCTTATAATGTCTTTGGCCGTATATTATGAGTTCTCCGAAGCTCGATACGGATTTCCCCTTTGGTCACTCAGCGCTCAGATTGGGAGTTGGTACGAAACTTGTTGGCAGCTTTTACAATCATCCTGGAAGTGGGACGATTCTTCATTGCCTCTGCCACGTTATAATCCAGCACTTTGGACAATCCCTGTGGAATTCGCGCAATCGATGCTGCTATTTATTGTTATACTCGGACTTTCTCACGCTCGTATAAATATGCGGCTTCTCATTCTAGCATGCATCATGTCTTTCTGTTTCTGGAGCGCACAATTACACGCAGTTGAATTTCTGGGCGGAATGTTCATTGCCGAAGTTACACTCCTCCAATCATATAAACCGACGCCATCCAACTCTGCCGAATCCTCTCCTATCCTTCCTACTACCGAATTTGGCGATGAAACTAGAAAATTATCCATTGATTCAGCGTCAGAGACTTCGAGTGTCATTACGGCAAGCAGTAAAAATATTTGCATGAAGGTCTTCTGGATTCTTAACGTTATCTGTGGTCTTTATATTTCCTCTTGGACAAACGAGCATGTCGACGAAATTCCGTTCCTCTCAACTCTCGATGCACATACTCCGGAACCATACAGAGGGCAAAGAGTTTGGTTCTGTCTTGCAGCCTTTCAAATCGTGATTGCATGCACACAACTCACTAGCTTACAATCCCTCTTCAATCTACCGATTCCTCAATATCTAGGCAATATATCATATGCCCTATATTTGACACACAATCTTTGCCTCACAATTCTCGAACCTCGTTTTGGACCCTTGTTCGAAACTACGATTGGAAAAGATTCTTTTGTAGGTAGACATGCTTTTTGGGGGGCCGGATTGCTAGTTTATGGACCAATTATATTATGGACAGCAGACGTGTTTTGGAGGGCAGTTGATGTCCCGTCTACGAAATTTGCGAGGTGGCTCGAGAGTAAATGTTTGCTTAAGGAGGATGAAAGTCCTAGGAAGAGAAATACCCTTTTTTAGCTTGGTTTTGGTTAAGGCATTCAGGTCTGGGGTTTGAATTGCATGGTTATTGGCGTTGTATAGATATCATGGCAACTGCATATCGAGAGCGTTTTGGGGCATGGGTTTATGAGCGACATATTGGTTGGCATCACAATTTATGTATTTAGAGGCCATATCATGGACATTTATAATGATCAAATATTCCGTTGACACGTTGAGATATCAGAATCAACATGCCTAGGATTATGAAAGGACGAGAAATATTTTGCGGCAAGTTGGAGACACTGAGACACCCCAAAAAGTCTTATCTTTTCAATATTTGATATCAAATGAAATGATCATTATTTTGAATCGAAAGCCGAATATATCTACATGAATCTTTCATATCTCATTTTTCCATATTATCGATACTTGATCAAATATCGATATTATTGAAAAGTATTGAAAAATGCGTGATTTCAATACAACCTTCTATTTGACGTCTCGGTTTTCCATGTAACTTACAGTTGGTGGTACCTAACCTTGCACAAATCGCAAGTCATTCATCAACAAACCACAACTTCCAAGCTTCACGATAAAGAAACATCACTGGAATCTACAAGTCCAAGCTTCACAGTAGGAGTTCGTCTTGGCTCCAGGTGGTATAATAATTCCTTTGCTCTTCCATTGTGGAAAGCTCCTTTCCTTGCGTCCTGAGACCCTTCTCGCTTTTCCTTGCCTTTCCTAGAGCTGTCTCTAGCTTCACATTCCGTACTCCCCATTATCGTAATTAGCCGTCAGTGTACACTCCCACGTGCCATTGCATCTTCAATATACCTGCTATACTAACACAATTCACCTCATCATGGCTGCCCAGAAAACTGTCTTAATCACAGGGTTCCTCTTCCCGTTCTCCCCTCATACAATCTATCTAAGCTAATATAACCGCAGTTGCACTGCAGGCGGAATCGGACATTCCCTCGCCCTCGACTTTCATGCTCGCGGCTACCTCGTTATTGCCAGCGCTCGCTCGGCAACTAAAATAACAGATTTGGCGGAATTGGGCATGCGAACTTTGAGTCTCGATGTTACGGACGGAAAGAGTATTGAGGAAGCGAAGAGGGAAATCGAGGGATGGATTGAGAATGGGGAGGTGGGGGGATTGGATGTGCTGGTTAATAATGCGTAAGTGAGGAATATATCTTTGTGGAGATTGTGGAGGGGCTCATGGTGGGATGCGACTCGGATGCGTTGCTAATGTAGAGTTTAGAGGGAGAAATTGCACATTGCCTGCTTTGGATGTAGATTTGGACGATGCGCGCCATTGTTTCGAGACGAATGTTTTTGGAGTCATGGCTATGTGCCAGACATTTACCCCTTTGCTGATTGAACGAAAAGGACTCATAGTCAACATTGGAAGTTTAGCAGCTGTTAGTTCATCCCATACTCATCCCATCCCCCCAAACCACAATCTCACTTGAAACGACATCCTAACATCTCACGACCAGATCCTCCCCTACGTCTTCGGCAGTGTTTATAATGCCTCTAAAGCAGCCCTGCACGCCTATTCCCGTACTCTCCGTCTCGAACTAGCCCCCTATTCCGTGCGCGTAATGGTCGTTGTAACCGGTGGTGTACAATCCAATATCGCGCGTACACCACGCATACTTCCTCCTTCATCCCTCTACCTCGAAATTGAAGATGAGTTCCAAACTCGAGTCAAACATAGTCAGAGTGGAAACGCAATGCCCAATGTGGAATATGCGAAAGGAGTGGTAGATGCGGTTGTGAAGGGGGGACAGAGAACGCTTTGGAGGGGGAATAAAACGTGGATTGTTTGGTTTGCGAGAAATTGGATTGGCAGTTGGGTTTTTGATTTGGTGCTTCCCGGAATGTTTGGGTTGAGGAGGTTGGAGAGGTTGGTTAGGAGAAGGGAGAGAGGTGAGGAGGGGAAGAAATCGTTGTAGATTGTAGGGTGTGAGGTAGGTGGTGTGTTGATTGTGAGGTATATATCGTATTAACCTAACACTTCTTGGGTTGCTTCCATTGCGTTTGTGTCATATATATATATATAAGATGCTTGGAATTAGATTTCCATATACTATGTATAGTTTTGGATAGAATATCATTGTTTACAAACTCTTTAATGTTGTCAAGGCACGCATTTTAGCAGACATTTTCTCCGTCAGATAGATGTTATATCATCATTTACATTTCATTCATAAATATATCTCTTGCTGTCTTTATCCAGTCAGCCAAATTTATTTCCATATCCATATATACCAAAAGTCCCAACACAATCACCTCAACCAAATCCCAAACCAGGGCCAGATACCCACACCACACAAGAGATTGAAAATATAAACCTCTAGAACATTCTTACACCCCCAAACCCAAGCTCTTACTCCCCCATCAAAATACTCCTCTCATCTCTCACATTCACCCACACATACTCCACACACCTGGGATCTGTCTTCCCCTCCCCCAACGTCACCGCCAACAAATTCGTCTCAAACCACGTAGGTCTCATCCCGAATTTCTCCAACCGCTCCCACCACTTCGTAAAGCGTTCAAAATGCACATGCTCATCATCCACCAAATGCAATTCAATCATCACCTGTCCCACCGGTAATTTCCCATCCCCATGCCCATCCCCTTCCTCATCATGAAAATCCATAAACGCATCCAGGGCCCCATACTCCGAACCTTCGATATCAATCTTTAATATATCGATGTAGGAGTGATTATTCTGCTTCATGAGTGTTTGCAATGTGTGGAAGGGAGGTGTCCGCGATGGGATGTCGGTGGATCCTAAACCGTATTTGTGGAAGTGTGCGCGTGAGGCGTGGGAGGGGGAGAGCTGGGGACCGAATTTTGAAACGGAGAAATCGTAGGCGTGGATTTGGGCGTGGGGAAGGCGAGTGAGTAGCTCGGCTTCGAAGGTGGATTCGTCGTTGACGCCGAAGCTGTAGATGGTTATGCCGGGTTCGTTTGGGTTTGTGAGTTGGGACGAGGAGGAGATGGTGGAAAAGGATGCGGAAGAGGGCCTATATTTCTCATAAAGACTCATACCGCAAACCCATTTCCCGCCGTCGCCGAGACGACCCACGCGCTGGATATCGTGCGGACAGGTCCAGGTTGCGGGGAAGAAGTCCCAGAGGGTGTAGGGGGTTTTAGAGAAATCGGAAAGTTTTTGAGCGGGGAAGAGAGGGATGTGTGGGTGTTTGGGGTGGTGGGAGGACATTTCGTGGCGGAGAGAGACGGAGGTGCGCCAGGCGGACTCGAAGCGCGAGATACGTTGGGAGATGGTGAGGGGTCTGGAGGGGGAGGAGATGGAGGAGGGGAATTTGGAGGGAGTGTCGAGGTTGGGGGTCGGGAGCACAAGGTTCGATTGGTGGAAAATGACGAAGAGGAAAAAGGCGAAGGCGAGCCAGAACCAGATGCCGCAGACTTGGGGGGGAGAGGGGCTTAGATGGATGGTTTTTTGAAGAGGGCTTGGGGTTTGGAAGTTGGAAGTTGGAATTTGGAAGTTTGAAATTGGGTTTGGGGGGTGTAGAGATTGGAGATTGAGTACATACCTTGTGCAACTCGTAAAGCCATCTTCAAAGATATCTTGAGAACGAGACCGAGAATGTGAGATAAAGATGTGGGCTAAGTAAGTATCAAACCAAGACTCGAGTAATGAGTATATATCTCCAGAACCTTTCAACCACACTTCCTATCTATCTATATCCGACAAGTTCAAAATCGAAATCGAGATAGAGATACCGCGAATATATGGAAAGCAAAATATATGAATAAACGAAATATGAGATATGATACCAAGCACCTCGATTCTCAATCACCACTATATCCGCATTCCAGTTGATAATTGATAAGAAAGCGTTCTATTTGATGTTCTTGAAATTTCTCCGGAAATAGACGAGGACCCGAGGAATGGAATGGAGTAGAAAGCTTATGAGTAGGAATGATAAGCCGCATGCATGGAGGAGAGGATGGTGTATCTGCGTGAATGAAAATGCGACTCGGTAAAATGAGAAGAGATGAGAGGGGTGAGTGTAAATAAGTAGATGAACTCCTCTCGAAAAAGCTCAACTCAAGCTTCTTCTACATGTATGCATGCAAACCCAACAGAACACACATACCCACCGAAATCCAAACTTCAAACTTCAAAGTCCGAAACAGCAAGAAGAAGAAGAAGAAGAAGAAGAAGAAGAAGAAGAAGAAGTAGCAGCAGCAAACAGCTAAACAAGAGATAGGAACAAAATACCCGAACGTAAAGTTCAATCAATAAATACAAAAGATAAGAAAAGAAATCCAGAACCACGCAAGATATAAGGAAAACTTTCCAGACAATCTTCTGCCGTGTGGTAACTTATAACTAACATCCATGATCCAACTTCTTTCCTTCCTATGACTTTGATGATTGATGGATTGATGGATCGATGATCTTCTGTACTCCCTCCGTATTCATTCATCCATCCGTTCATCCATCCAGCTAATCAACCATCCATCTGATCAGCCATTCAGTCTCAAATAAATTTACATCAAGAACCCCCCCTCTACTCACCCCTCCTAAAATCACGTACAAGAGACGCCCTCCCTTCTTCCTCCTTCCCCAAACCGCCAACCGCCAACCGCCAACCGCCAAACCCTCGAACAAAAGTATACTATTCCCTCCTCTCCTCTCCCCTCTCCCCTCTCCCCTCCAAAATCAAACCATCAAACCCTACGTAAATCTCACAGCATAGCCTATCCATCCACCCATCCCGCAACCCCATCCACCCATCCAACCAACCAACCATCCATCCCATCCCATCCCATCCCATCCCATCCCATCCCATCCCATCCCACCCCATCTCATCTCATCTCAGAACAGAACAGAACAGAACAAAGATAACATCAATCAAAAGTACAGATCTACATAGATACACAAATACACAAATACACAGATACACAGATACACACAATCTTTACATACACCCAGCTTCCTCCCTCCAGCCAAACCGCCTCAGCGCCTCGCCCACCCATCTCTCATGAGTCATCACCCAGCCCATACCCAACACCTTCTCATTGACCAAACCCCCTTCCTCTCATCACGTGTTATCTCCCGCCCACCTCCCCATGGATAACGCCAAGCTGCACAATACAGTACATCAAACGAATAATCAACTTAAATCTAGGATTTACAAAGAGTGGGTGTTTTTTCATTTTTTTTCAACCCCTCAACAGCCATGGTGGTGGGAATTCCCCTAGTCGCAATATCACGCGCGGGAGGATTTTACCAACCTACCAACAAGATATGATATTGGGGAGATGAGCTCAACGAATAGAATCACTGTACTATTATCTTTTTCTTCTCAAACAAAAAACGAAATATTCATTTCATGCTAACATTGCGAGGGAATGTTATGATATCATTGCTATGCTATTCTATACCTCCTCACATCACCATATCTTAATCTCAAGTCCCACATTGTATGCAAATGGAACCTGCACATTGCACACTACCTCCCTGCTTATATAACAACAAAATGTCCCATCAAAAAAGTTCATATCCTTTCCAGATGTAGACCGCTCTTGCTTTCATAGCTTGCAAAATTTTTCCCTCGTATTCCTATGTCGTACTTTTTCATGCTGGCGCTATACTTTCGTAGTAGGTAGGATATCATTTCGTAAACAAATCGTAATCTCATTTCATCCCTCTCTGTAGGAGGCATTTCCTCATAATCTCATACTGTCATATCATTTTTCATTTCTTCCATAACATTGCATTCATGATTGAAAAGATGTCCCAGGTGTTCAACCCTCATCTTCATCTTCTTCAACCAATGCCGGTGTTCTTCTTTCATTCCTTCGTTTTGGTCTTCTGTGTCTTGAACTGCTGATGTTACTTGCAGAATCATCTGGTGCTAATTCACTTTGCATTTCATCTTCATCCCAATCAGCTTCACTCATAAACTCGCTGCCACCTTCAGCCCAACTTGGTCTCTCGTATCCTGGTCCCAAACCTGCCGAGTAAGGACCAGGTGTACCAACAATGATTTCTGGACGACTTGTTCGTCTTGACTCTGCTGCCATAGTCAATCCGACACCACGTTCACGAAGAGCTTTACGAACAGCCTCAGCCTTTCGATGTAAACCTTCGAATGCATCCTCAAGTGCCTCCATTCCTACATATATCTCACGCTCTATTTCAGCCAAGACAGCTATTTCAGCCTCCTCATCGTTAGAGACTGGATGTCTGTACTGTTGAGATGGAGTAGGACCACGAGAACCATAACTAGCTGACCGAGGTGAAAATGGTGTGTTGTTACGAGAAGGCCCCCTCATTACAGGTGATGGTCCTCGGTAACCATTTGGCGTGGGCCCGCGAGAAGGGAATTCATCAATTACTTCATTATCAGCTCCAGACCATAGGAATCCATCAAATCGGCCAGATATCAAAATCTCCCATTCTGATGGTGCAATGCCAGAAATTGTTGCGAGAAGATTGTGAATATGAGGGTTCTTGAGAAGATATATGGCGACTTCTGGATCTCGTGGAGGAAGTGGCAATCGATACAGTCGTTGCATAGATTGTACTGTTTTTATCATGAAATCCGAGCGTGGTTTTCGTAATGGAGTAGGTGCTCGTGAAACTGGTTGTAATGTAGTAGAGCCACTGAGCAAAGCGTTGAAGAGAGGTCGGTCGTGGTGATTGAGATGAGTTAGTATAGCAAATGAAAGAGTTTCGTCATCGACTTCTTGAGGAGGTGCAGATGTTGTTTCAGGGCAACTTGAGAGCCATTTGTCAACCGATGCTTTTGTTTTTATGGATTGTCGTAGATAATGTTCCCGAAATTCGTCAGCTACATCAGGATCGATCTTAATAGGTGATCCAGGTCTGTGATGACCTGATATACCAAGACCAGCTAAATCATCGACTGATTTCGCACCGAGTGCTGAGAAATCAAAGGCAGGCCATTCGGGAAGTTCACGTCGACCGCTAACCCATTCCAGAACTTCTCCCCATGAGAGACCTCTACTTCCCTCGTGAGAATCAAGATCTAAATCCTGGCACATAACACACAAGCAACCATCAGATGATAAATCTCTAGCAAAAACATTTTCCAAGCGGTCAAGTAATCTCCTTGCAACGGAGCGATATCCAGTAGCAACTGCGAGTGATCCACTCTTATTGATGACTGTTTCGTATTGGTCCAGGATGTTGAAGTATGGTCCGAATATCTTTTGGATTTCCGCGGGAGGAGAGGACCTTGATGAATTGAGCGACTGGGAGGAGATAGAGAGTAACGTCTTGGGAACCGTACGGACCAATCCGCCATTTTGGAGGAGGTAATCAACGCTAGGGATGTTTAATGGTAAATTCGGGGGAGGGGGTGGTGGAGGAGGACGTGGAGAGCCATACACACTAGATTTAACAGAGGATGCATCAAAATGCATATAGGGAGATGGAATAGATTTTACATCAGCCGTACCTGAAGGGGGAAATTGGGGAGTCTGAGTGGGGGTTTTTGGCGAAGAATCCTGTGCCGAAGCCGGGGAGGAATCCGTATCGATATTGGTAGGCCTTCGGCGAGATGTAGGTTGTGACTGTCTTTTACCTGCCACGGATGTGACATTGGAGTCATCGTCCTCGTCATACCTTTCAGACTTGGAGGTCCTGGAACTTGAAGTCCGTGTGGGTGGTGTACCAGTCTTTGATGGCCTAGATTTTGAAGATGTGGAGGACCGGTCTTCTTTCTCCTTTCTTGATGACTTCCGATGTTCCGAGCTTCGAGAACTGGGTCTTGAGGACATTTCAGAACCTTCCTCCCTGACCTTGTTCACTCTTGAAGATGTAGATTTCTGTCGGTGGGTAAATTCAGTATCTGGTGGACTGGGTGGTCTGCCTTTGGCAGAAGCTGCTCGTCTTAGGTTCTCTGCAGACCTAGATTTGTTCTTCTCAGAGTCGATGTCTGTTGCTTCTGGCGTGTAAGGTCCAGTCTTTGATTTTGCAGGTCTGTCTGACACATAGCTATTTACAGCCTCTTTACTGTAATTTTTATTAAAACTTGGGTAGGATGATGTACCTGGCGTAGAGGAAGTCCTCGAGAGCTCAGGAACAACATCCGCCATTGTAGTAGTTGTCACCTCCGACATGCCTTCACTCTTCTCGTCCTTTGTTTTGTCCCTTTTTCGACGATGAGATGACTTAACAGGCTCCCCCGTTTCAGGATCTATGGTCTTGGGTCTTGATTTGTGCTTTCGATTTGGATCTTTATCACTTTTGGATGACCGGTGACGCAGCTTCTCTGACGAGGTTTGTTCGTTTTCGACCTCAGGATCGTTATCGCGGTCTTTGTGAGGCATTGCTAACACGATCTTTATTTATTGAGATCTAGTAGGCGGCGCTTAAAACTTGATTTGTTGGCGGCGCATGTGGAGCAAAAGGCGAAATGGAACAAATTGGGCGAATGAACGGCGGTGAGTGCTAAGGCTGCAACAGAATTTATGAATGAATGTAGTAGTTGGTAAACGGTTGCTATGACATCAAACCAGTCAAGAAGCAAGTGAGTGGAGGAGATCATCAAGTACGGACAGAATCAAAAGGGCGTGTAAGGCATGAGACTTTCAGAAGCTATGTCGAAATGGGTTTGAGGGGGACGAAGGGAGTGGATCGATAACTGGGATCGATCACACGTTCATACGTTGGCAGATGGTCCAAGTGATGAATGGTGATAGTTGATAGGTGAAATGGAAGTCTTGAATTTTGCCGACGTCGTGGGGAATGCTGCTTTGGCCAAGGAAAAGGGAATAAAAGACGATTCAAATTGGGTGAATATGAAAGAGATTGGACGAATGA